CTAGTTAAGATTGAATTACCGAAAATGTCGCTCCAAGTGGCCATTTTACTTTTTCACTCATCTACGTAATCAAAACGAAAGTTCATAATTTTACGTGAAATATAAAAACACTTAAATTTGAGGAAGAAACTAGTGAAATGCTACATTTGGAGCATAGCTCTGTATGGGGCTGAAACATGGAAACTTAGGGTAGTAGGTCAGAAACATCTGGAAAGTTTCGAAATGTGGTGTTGGAGAAGGATGGAGAAGATCAGTTGGACCGATTATGTGAGAAATGAAGAAGTGTTAATTAGAGTCAGTGAGCAGAGGAATATCCTACACGAAATAAGAAAACGGAAGGCTAATTGGATTGGTCATGTTTTACGCAGAAACTGCCTTCTAAAAGAAGTTATTGAAGGAAAGATAGAGGGGCGGATAGAAGTGACAAGAAGACGATGAAGACGACGTAAGAAGATGCTAGATGACCTTGGGGACAAAAGAGGATACTGTCATTTGAAGGAGAAAGCTCTAGATCGCATTAAGTGGAGGAATTGTTTTGGAAGAGACTGTGGACCTGTCGTCTGACAGATTACTGATGATGATGATAAAAACACGGATTATGAAGACACCAGACACCCTGACTCCTTACAAACATGTTCCCTTCTGGAAACCAATCTCTACAAATAATTCAGTTGCCCATTTCAATAGAACTTGTAACTGCTGGAGGGAGAGGATTAAGAAATATAACAACAGAATATGTCTGGATGGCATAACATTCGTGTCATTCATATGAAGGAACATATTATGGAATCGGACAGAATAGCACAGAATAAGTTAAGCCATTTAGATTTTAATAATTTTTAATATGTTACATTAACACAGGGCACTACAATAAAATTGTATAATTACGTACTTCCTATGCAGAGTCACAATTTGTAGTCGACTGTAGTGGGCTGAGACAGATTTTCTTTGGTTCTCCCATTTTCTATCATGCATTCCGCCATATAATAGTTCCTTCATTATCAAAAATGACCTGTGCTAAATTTAAATTGATATGACATCATGAAATAACATCCAAGTGAAACTATTATCCTTTCAAATTTAATCACTTCTGAACAAAATGAGGCAATCCACACATAGCTGAAGCGCAGAGGTTACTAGTAATGCATTTAAGAATATCACGGAATAGGGGGGGGGGGAAGTTCTCCTTTGCACAAGCTACTAAGCAGAGTATAGTTCTCTCATAGTGCTTAAAAACAAACTTCTGTAGAAAAATTCCATTACTACGACAGAAATTCAATGCAATTTGGGGGGGGGGGAAACGTTGTTCCATACTCCTGGTAAGTACCCCTTAAATGCTCTCTAGTACATAGTATTTCTAACAAATACTATTAATATGATGGAATTATTTGAACATTTAACTCCCTTTCGGAACATACCAAAACAACAAATTTTACATAGTCCCTTTTGGCGAATAAAAGATATTAAAGAAAAAGCTAAAGTGTAACAATGTTCTCGTAGGTAGAAAAATACAATTAGAAAATACTCTTACATGTTATCGATATTTGGAGAACTTACTGTCCCATCGTCTGCAACGACTTATTCTCTTACGGGTAGTTCTTTGTCAATTCGTTATTTCACCGCTGCGCCACTGGTCGCTCATTACACTCGCCTCTTCTTCCAACGGCTCTCTTGAAACTGAATTTAAAACAGACTTACTATTCGGACTCATTAACAGACTGCACCAACTATTTGACCACAAGAGCCACGGGTCACCAGTCCGCTCTGCACTAAACTGAACTCGCGCGAAAGCAGCTTTCCGGGTGTGTCACTCTTCACTGGCATCAGCTGAGCGACTTCTCGAACAATTTAGATGTTATGACGTGATCGCCCCGACCGCTCAGTTCCCGCGATAATATGTATACCTATGCGAGGGTGTAAAAGTTGCCCTTAGCATGTAGGATGTGAGGTGCTCGTGGCGGTTATATCCTAGACGACAGCGCTCTTCTTGCCCTTAAATTTGATTACAGGGACTTATGGATATCTTCTTAACCACACCTTTCCAGGACTGTTATCTTCCAATTTGGTAACTTCATCTTCCTTATTGTCAGTTTTAACATCATCCTCCGATCGTATTTTCGGTAGGCCCGCTGGTCTTGGTTTCCACGAGTACAGGCTTTTAACTGATCTGTTGGTTGGCATTCGCTCTACATGGCCTAACCACAAGTCTTTGTGTATGTATAAAATTGATTATATTTTTATAGTTTTAGGGTTCTTCTAAAGGAAGTATTTCCCAAGGGCGAGTTTATTATTAGTTTTAGTAGTCTCCCAGATCGTTACAATTAATTACATTGGACCATGGTTTGCTGAACTTAAAAAATACAATATAACAAATTTTTCATGCTACTTAAGACTGTATGGGACCATAATTTTCGTCTACATCTGCTAAGATTTGGAATAACATTAGACTGTAATCAGTTATATATATGGCTAAGATAAAGGGAACACCATAATTTGCACAAACCATTTGCATTACAAATTCCTTTCACTTTTTCATTTCAACCTCTCTATTTATGTGACTTCACACAATGCTGTGCCACAATATCTAGTCTGAAGACGAGATTTGGATAGGTTTCTTTATTTCTCTATTACTTTTCTTGTATTACCAATGCATTATCATGAAACAGTGATGTAGACTGCTGCATCACAACTTCCTTTTGCAACCGTCCCTCTTCTTTGCCCGCTGCTCTGGCCGCTCCTTTCCTCCTCTTAGTTGCTCCGGCTACTCCTGCTTGCCGCTCCGTCCACCTTTACCCTTCCTCAAACTCTGTTACTTTTAGATAATCTTCCTTGCAATTTGGATACAGAAGTAACCAGGTTGGATTTAGGATAATGGTAGGCATGGATCTCCTTCTCAGGTCGATAACAGGTCTTTCTTCGAAGAAACTTCAATACAACGAACCCTTGGCTTTACAACCTTAGGTTTAATTTACCTATTCTTTGTCACAATCACTAATCTATCATTTTTAATTATACATCACTCACTATTTATAGTAGTTATATTGACACTGTCCCGCCTACAAAGGCGATTCTATGAGGAAATAGCCAGTGCCTCCACCACGAGGAGTGTATCTTATCAACTGCCTACCACTGGCTTGGCGACGCTAACAGACTTAAGGGCCTTCCCAGCACCACACCCTAGATGACATCATTCCCCACATCAATCCGGGGATCCACCGTCCACTCTCCAGCTACAAAACTGCACATACGAAATAACGCCGTGCTATCGTCATGTAGGCACCTCCTCTCGAGGGCCTCACACATTCAAGTCCACTAGTAATCGGTTACACTTTGGCATTGGTTGATGAAGTACTGAAACTGCTGCTATATATAATATGTAGAACTATGCTACCATCAACACGACACATATTTCAGTTATTACAAATGGATCTTTACTTACTGGGCGTATACACGTTCAGTGTGTACAGTGTGTTTTACACTGTGCGGTGGTTTTACGCAGATGGCTATATAGTCATACATTCTTATACAGAGTCTACTATGTGCCTGCATTTGTAATATGTCCTATAAATCAAATATCTGAAAATCGAAGAATAACTTGGGATTACTGAGATTCTGAACTTAGTCCACTGTCTGTCATTCTAAAACACTCGTCCACTAGTTGACAATAGCTGTATCTAATAGATCCAACATAGTAGGTGCCTCCACACCCTTTCTACCCGAGGTAAATAGATCCAGTTTCCAAAACGTTGCATTCATTAGAATATTGGATGATGGGCAGAGTCCAGAAACTCAGTAACTCAGAGTCTAACACACCATTGACCGGACCCTACAGAACCTACTTGGCAAAGGGTAGTTGTATATGCAACCCACAAGTTATTCCAGCTGCAGTTATGAATCATACGAAGTTCTGATGTTAACTTAAAATACTAAGGTGGATTTCCATGTACTGTACCAAAAAGATGTAACTTTAAACAAGAACTTGGGCATGGGTGAAGATACCTTATCCACAATGCTGAAGAAGACTGAAACTATTGTGACAGGACGTAAACACACCTCTCTAGGAAAATTAATTTCATAATTAAATTCAGAGCTTTAACTCTAGAAGATTAATAACATGCTTTGAAGAAGATAAACATAATAAATCACTGAATGAATCCATCTATGGCATTGAGGTTGGCAAGGCTTGCCATGTTATTTGCTACCACCTGACTATACAGTTCAAAGAATATTAACAAACAGTTCATCCTTAGGTCAAAAAACAAAAAAGTAAATTCTACTACCTGGTTTGTCAATCAATGCAGCATAAATAGCAGGCAGAAATGTGGAAGAGGAAGTTTTATTATAACACAGCAATAAAAATCAAACAAATATAAATGGTGACTTGAGAGTACAAACTACACAATCAAAACAACTCATTGAAACCGCCTAAGTACACCCACAAATCATCACTGAGCTGTGTATCTCTAGTGAATAACTATTTCTGGAGAATAATATCAATTTTTGTTATTAATATTTGCCGCATTTCCTCTGTTTTAAAAATTTCTTTTCAGAACTCCATTAGGCAAGAGGTGGATGTACTTTAGCTTCCAGCCTACTGTCACATATTCTTTCCTTAAATGTACTTACATAGTTACGGGGAACAAGATCATTGACCTCATACTAACATGATCCTAATTACAAATATATCAAGAATACCATGTTTCTCCAAAACGTCGGTGAACTTCTATCAGAATACACGGCGTCACGTTGGAAAACTTGGTATTCTTCCCAGCTATCGCTGTAAGAACCTCAAATAGTACACAAAAACGTTATCATATCTGGTTGAAGCATACCATATTAAGGCAATACAGACCACGCACGTGAACCCTCTTTTACATCCCTGGCTCTTTCCATGTCATTAATTGTTGTGATGTCGGTATGGACAAAAAGCGAATTTCCAGCTCTGTACCAAAGAATCTTTAATAATTATGCAACAAAGCTAAGTGTACATTTATACTTACCTACTGTTCTCACAGCTAATACAACGCTCTTGCTTTGCTTCAGAACTGACTTACTATTTCAATTGGATTTATTTAACATCAGTCATTAAACGACGGATGAACACAAAGTACAATGTCTATGCCGGTCTATGCTACTGGAACACACTGGACACCGTCATGCACGGGCATGCATACCATGCTACTATCTATCCGCGAGATAGTGATACTACGACAATTCGTTTGAGGCAGCCGCCACCACCATTTCAGCCGGTAAAATCGTTAACTACTATTTCGAGTACTATCTTCTGGGATATTGCGTCTGTAACCAGTTAAAAGTAAACGGACGTTTCCGAAGAACATATCGCCTCAATCTTCAGGATTGCATATGCCGTGCACGATATCGGCGTGAAAGCTGGTGCTCGGGTTATTCGACCCTGATGATGGTGGCGATATATTCTTCCGAAATGTCAGTTGACTTTAAACGCATTACACGGCGTTATATCCCAGAGGATAGTACTTTTCATAACCACCGCTGTGAAAACCTCTGATCCTACTGCTATTATTCAACTTGCACAATTTTCTCCACTTTGCAACTGTGCTGCTGCTGGGGATTTTTGTTCTTTTAAGGGGTAAAAATGAGAACTTAGCCTACTACATTTATATCAGCTTCTACAGCACAGCACAGTTTACAGTGCATCAACATCTGGAGCATGGCCAAGGCTACTCACTCACTACTGCATGAAGGGTTATGGAACTGGATGAATATAAAAATTGTGCTATACAAAAATACACAATATAAAGTAAATATTACACAATCTTGGGAAGTTAAAAATATGGAAATTAAATGGTCAAGACTGGAGGAAGAGAACAGAAATCAGCCACTGGTTTATCTGGTATTAATTTAAATTTACTCTATTCAATTTTATTGATCCTGTGTAAAGCAAGTTCAAAGCACAATATTTCCATACAGAAAGCAATAGTGTACTACACTTTATGCTGGCATATACAGAGTGCAAGAATGCATTTTGGAACACTGTACACTCGTCAATAAATTAAAAGGGAAGAAAATCACTTATCATAATTATATACAACAGTTATATTAAAAATAAAGAAATTAAATATCACTACACCTGCTGTCACATTCTCAGTTTGGAGTCAATTCACAAACCATTCAATGGTCTTTTTTTAGTTTTCATGATTCTAGTTTTTGGCAGTAGGAAAGAGAAGTAGTCATTATATCCATCATCTTGTTCCCATTACTCCTTATATAGTTATAACTTATAGAAGGAATTCTAGTTACCACTGCAACCAATTAATTTTTAACAGCTAGAACAATGCTAAGTAAAGTACAGCTATCCCTATACCAGGCCGTGAAGGCCCATAGGGTTGTGACGTTGAGGGTCCCACATTATCTGGACAATCGGCTCAAAGATGGCAGTAAGGTTATCAGACTTACGAGCCGGCCATGTTTTACTCCCCAGGAAAATTATTTAATTAATTCCTGGTACTCACATCTGTTAGAGGCTGAGTAAACCCCAGGGCCATAGTACGGCTGGAAGGATTAGGTCAACTGGAAAAATCCGGTGACCTCATCGGGATGCCCTGGGGTTTACTCAGCCTCTCACAGAAATGAGTACCAGGAATTAATTAAATAATTTTCCTGGGGAGTAAAGTGTGGCTGGCACGTAAGGCTGACAACCTTACCACTATCTCTGAGCCGACCGTCTAGATACTCGTAATGTGGGACCCTCAACGTCTCACAACCTTATGGGCCTTCACGGCCTGGTACAGGGATAGCTTTACTTTTCTTTTATTTTTTTAGAACAATGCTATATATGAACAACAGGTAGCTACAAATTTTCTCTACAACTAGCTGTGGCAGAATACTGTTGTTTACTCTCAGAATATTACATAGGGTGCTGCTGCCTACATTTCCAGTTATACATAATAATATTCCTAATGAATAAAGCCATTAGCCAGTTGGCCACAGTGCTAGAAATATCCTACATAAAAAACCTTATTTTCAAAACAAAATGCAATAGAAAATGTCACATGTCTACAGAAAGGAATTAAATTCCTTCTGTGTATTCAAACATAAATACTGTTGGATACAGAATAATTTACTGTTGTTTTTTCCACCAGCAAGCATAGTTATTGGTATTGTGAGACTGTTCAATTTCATACACTTTATCTGGAATATCTAGGGAGATAAAGAATGCCAGTTCTGCTACATACAATGAAATAAGTTCGCTGAACTGGGGCTGTAATGAAAAGTGTACAAAAACTTAATAACAATAATCACCTTGCCTAAAATAATACTCTTCAAACATTATCAAACTAAACAGAAATCACTGTATCCCAGAATCTGTGACAGAAATAAGCTGTCATTCCATTCTAACTACATAAGTCCTATATACGCATGCGCACACATATTTACATTCAAAACTGAGGACTTCTGGGAAGAAACAGTGACAAAGTAGTCTAAAAAGTGACATGTACCTCTTTAACACATGTATTAAATAAAAGTTTTTGACGATACAGTATCTATGCTACAACAACTTGATATAAATATAATGAACCAAGTATTCTGCTATAATTAAGAATAATGGATAAAGAAACACATAAAGAGAATTTCCTTAACACAGTTTTACAACTCTGTACTACAAATGCTGCACATTTTTCACTTTAATGGTGGATGTTAACACTATTAGTTTAGCTAGTTTCAGAATCACATTTCTCTGTTTTAACATGAAATAACAATACATAGTCTTTACAACTGGAATTCTTCTTACGGTATAAATACCCAATTGCTTTGAAATAATAAAATCATAAGTATGATAAGCTGAAACTTCATTATAAATAGCTATCACAAGCATTCTCCACATATTCCACATTTTGTACTTAATACATAAATTTATCAGTCATAAGAAGTGTAACATGGAATGAAGAAGTCTTAAACTGTGTTGAAAACATTGCTATGCTCTGTCATTACAGACAGCACCCGACATAAACATGAATGCATGTCCTTTGTCTGTGATGAACTCTACTTACAGTCTTACAAACCTTTTTGGCCTGGTAAAGGCTAAGGTATTTCTGGTGAGGGAAATTTTATGACATTGAATCCATTATTACTTTTATTACTTACAGCGATAAAAGTGCTGGCCAGCAGATGACTACAGCTAATATTCATTCTGAAACATGACAGTCCTGGTATTACCCAAATTTCCAAGGTTTACTCTCTAGCAGAAGTGAAGATGCAAAAGTCCAGTGCCTTAGCCCAAGACTGCTGAAAATTCTGTCTTAGGATGTACATTTTCACATTCAGTGTCTGACAGGCTTAATACCAGATTTGTTCATTTTAGGTTACTGCTAACTCAAAATGTAAATGCATAAGAATGATATGTGATACTATTCAATTTGGTTTTAGAATGAATCTGCTATGTTTTTCAGTTTCTAAAATAATATGAATGACTGCTAAATTCATTGTATACACCAGTAGCCTTGTCTTGGAATGTAAAATAACTATACATTCATTCGGTATGTTAAAACAGTATAAATACGTACATACAACTTGGAATAATGTTCAGGTTTATTATTATGATAAACAGAAGAATAAATTTAAGCTACAACATATCTCACCTTTCAATCAACTATAGAATACCAACAATAGTCGTGATTTTTTTCACCTATCTGCATAGTAAGAGAGGTCCTGATTTGTATGCTAGGGCATGTTCATAATATAGCTCATCGAATATCCCAATATGACAGAATATTGGGAATTGAGAGTTCCATTTCCAAACAATATGAAAACAACAAAACTCTGCATTGTGTATTAAATAAAAATATAGTATGTACATTGTCCATAATAATGAAAGGAACATAAAAATTAAACTATTATATTAATATATAGTCAGCCCCCACTTTACAATGGTTCTGCTTTACTATAATCTGATTTCATGCTGATTTCCTCATAGCACCAATAATGCAATGTTCCCTTTACTTCACTTGGTTTCAGCTGTACAGCTATATGGCCACACATGTCTGTAGCTTAAAGGGAACACTGATAAGAACATGATGCCAGTCTTTAATGTCATGGTGTAATAGTCAGTCTGTTTACACTGGCAACATTGCATTATGTATTTTGGATATATCAATCTTTACTTTTTTAACATTGTGATATGTTATACATATCTCTATTATTTCTATTTTGTCTACAGGCCCTAGGCTGCAAAAGTAGCAGGTTCTGCTTTAAGTTTATGACAGTGACCTGGTACCTAACAGGGGGCTAACAGTTAAAAAACAGCATAAAACAATTTATAATATGAAAATTATAAGAAACTTTATCAAAAAGATTAATGCAGGCTGTTACAAGCATTGCCAGATGAAATGTTCTCATAAAGTCATTTGAGCATTACAGCCTCTCAGAGGAAGTTTTGATGTTATAGAGCTACTATACTACTTACAAGAGAATACACACATTAAAAAATTTTGCCTGCTATTTCAGTTAAGTAAACAAAATTGCCAAAAAAAAAAAAAAAGAGTAAAGGTGATGTATTTGCCAAACTACATTCTTGACCATCTTTTTCTCAAATACTTACTTCAGCATCATTCACATTTTTAGCTAGCCACTGGGATGATTCTGCTTCAAGATATTAAAACTGTTTGTCCAGAAAATTGAGGAAAGCTAATAATTTACAACATAGGCAATCAGAACTCAAGATATAATATTTTTCTCTCTAGATTTTACACATTCTTTCAATCTCCCTTTAACAGGTTCCTGCAAATTAAAGAAAGATATCAAAATGAGGGCGTTAAAGGAAAACAGAACAGAATATTAAACAGAAGGAATTTTTACTAAAGAACCCCAAAGCAATTCCAAATATGAAACATTAAGGTAGATCCTGGGTTCATATAATTTGTAAGTCTCAAAGAATTTTTGTGGTATTTACTATTATACTGAACTTTTCGACGATGTTGGTTAGCTAACTTGGAATTCAAAAATGAATTCATTTTGAAACAGAAGTAAGAAAAAGGCAGCATTTGTCTGTATCATGTGTAGTGAAATCTTGAGTTCTGATGCTGATGACAAGTGAGACTGTGCAATGGGGGTGCTTGTCATAGAGTGCAACAATAATCCAGTTCACCTTAAGGGCATTATGGGCAATAATGACTTGGTAAATGATCATTTACCTCTGATAACTATATTCATTCTCCTCTGTAACTGGTCAGCAAGCAGTTTGTCAGCTATGTCAGTAGGAGTAAAGATTTAAATGCACCACTGCCTTATATATTATACTTTACTCATCATACTCTGTTTCAAATACAACAATTTTGACATTTGAATGTATGACTAAAAAACAGCACATATGAGTTTATTGCACATGATATTTAAATGTCACATAAATGCATGATTGTTAGTGTACCGGAATGCATGTTAATGTCATAAGTTTACCATAACATGGAAACAAGTGATGCAAGACACAAAATGAAATTCCACTGATGCTATAGTATTCCCACAACATGAAATACATAAAAAAAAAACATGTTCAGAGACACAAATATCCAATATCCTCATTTATGCATAGCACAGCTATTCAAAATTTGTCCCAGAATTGCAATCATAAGAAGAAAAATCCTTGTAAAGTAAGAGAAACATGAGAAAGTGGAGAGCAGTTCCTGAGGAAGTGTTTGAAGATACTGCAATTAGCTGGGAGAATATAATTCTTTGAACTGAATATAATGCAAAAGTCTCATTCATCCACGATTTAAATTTGTTGTTTGTCATTTAATAATGTTATAGGAACTGCAGGAAGTGCAGTGGATGCAAAAGGCAAATAACAGAGAAAACTGGGCATCTGCCATAATGGAAGCTGAATTTTAGAGGAACAAAGAGCTAAGGTGTAAGCAAACATGTTACTTTGACAGGGTTTCTGTCCTGAATGAACAGACAAGCGAACGGTACTATCCTGGCATTCATTTGAAAAGACCAAGGGAAACCATGAACCACTGGAAACCAAGAAAAGACTTGCACTGGCAATTCTTGAATACAGATTAGGCAATGAAACCATATGCTGTCGGTTCTCTGTTTTTTATGGGTAGGAATATCAGGAAATTAATTATAAGGTGAGACAAGCGAGAGTCAGATGGTAAAGTCCTTGAATTCAGGCCCTGCTGTCTCCCCTCCATCTCTCAAGTTCTCCTCTTTGTCATATAATTTACACAGAGAAATGAAATTCCTATACATATAATTTCCTGAGATTTTTTCAACTTTCATTTATTAGCAAGCTGCCATGGGAAAATGATAAATTACTGCCAAAGAAAATAAATGTAAGGCAAGAAGCTTATACTTTGTCTTGCTAGCAGTTTTTCAGCCACACTGAGGCTAATAAGAACTGTTATATAACAATGCTGCATTTTACTGGGTATAGACAGAATAGTATAAATAAACTTTCTTCCAATATTTTTGTGATTGAGCTGGCGACGATTCTTACATGGAATTTCGAACATTCTACATTCAGATTGTGTGTCATATTGGCACCATATGTAGGCAGGTTTATGACTCTCAAGTTGAATGTGGATCATTCTATCTAGCCTCTTTAACTCGCAACTGTTCTGTGCTTGCAGTACGACCACGAAGACTCATCAAGTATGACCCGCCGCCACTCCCATGCTGCCAACATAAGAGTATCATGTTATATAATAACTTATTAAGAGACAGAATGATTATGAAGTGGAAGGAAGTGCTGTATCCCATTTTTTGGTATTATCCCCCCACCCCCAAAAAAAGGCTGGAGGAACTGCAGGAAACCACAGAAACATACTCAAGACAGTTGGTGTTGAGACTGAGATCCAAACCCTGGACCTACAAAATACAGGAGGTATTCTAAGAATGAGACTCACTGTGACAACTGTTTACAAATTTATGAAATGGAGCTTCTAGGTTAGCAGCAGAAATATTAATTCCTAGAAGCAGCAGGGTCCTTTTAAATATACTTCTCATGTACATGTACTCGTATTTATTAATATGGCTGGAGTACAGAGAACAGAGAAAATACCTGGACCAAGACAAATTTAATGAGTAGCAAAGAAGAAAAATTACACAAAAAAAAATTCTTGAACTAGAATTGTTATAATTAAACCAAGAGACTAAGTGACTTGGGGGAATGATATATATGCCAGAATATTATGGAAAGAGACCAACTGCACACTGAGATACTAACATTAAAGTGAACAGACTTAACTGACATTATTCTAGTTACATATTTTACCTTCCGCAGTCAAAAACATACTGACAAATCACAGTGCACATGCAATGTATTCTGTTATGACAAAGCTAAATTTCATATCAGCTGTTAGCTGAACTGATTGAGACAGCACACAATTATCTCAATATGTGCATCCTAATTTATGAGTCCATCCTTGTACACTGTCATGATTCCTAATCACTTCAAAAGACCCAGAAAAAGCAATAAGAACTGTTACCAATATGTGGGGAAATAATAATAATAATAATAATAATAATAATAATAATAATAATAAAAAGTAAATCCCTCAATTTCATAAGAGACAGAATTTCATACAGCATTTCTGTACACAAATGTCTTTTCCATGTTACTGAAATGATATTTCACTTTTAAATAAAACAGTGTCACAATTAAAAAGCTTACCTTAAAGGAAATGGCTCTATGAGCAAAAATGACTTTGAATTACATGTTTTCACATTAATACAACTGCTATGGAAATAAGAATATACATATTTTACTACCTAAAAACTCCCAGCAATTAGACATCGAAACATCACATGTTTGCAAACAGATACAGCACATTACGCTATAAATTTACTAAAAGTATCACTGATATACAAGGTGCGGCAATAAAGAAACCGGATTACTTTTATGACTCATTTCCGGCCACGTCGATGACGAAGAGGAGGGTACGGCATTGACCCGTGGACTTCCCTCTACCGTCACACAAAGTTTCATTCACGTGCATCGGTTAATCTGGCCGCGACCATTGTTAGAAGCGGATCGTGTGTCTGAGCTCCGTCGGAATAATGCTGAGTGCTAATGCAGAACAACGTGTTAACATCAAATTCCTCACAAAACTTGGAAAATCTGCCACTGAAACTTACAATTTGTTGACAGAAGTATATGGTGATCAGTATCTATCTCGCACGCAAGATTTTGAATGGTTTAAGAAGTTTATGGAGGGTAGGAAAAACGTCGGGAACGATCCAAAATCGGGCCGTCCTTCCACTGCGAAAACTCCAGAGAATGGGGGAAGGTCGCTAGAATTGCTCGAAGAGATCGTCGACTGAGCATTCGAGCAATTTCTGAACTTACCAACATCAATAAGGAAAGTGTTAGACAGATTTTGCACGACGATCTGGGCATGAAAAAGGCGTGTGCTAAAGTGGTGCNTTGACGACCCTCCGTGAACGTGTGCGACGAAGGAGACCAGACATGTGGAAGAATGCCTCATGGGTTCTTCATCACGACAACGCGCCAGCACACAACGCGCTATCTGTGAAGAGGTATTTGGCAAAAAACAACATTCCAGTGATGGAACATCCACCGTATTCTCCGGACCTAGCACCGCGCGACTTTTTTCTCTTCCCGAAAATCAAGTCTGCTCTCAAAGGGACCAGGTTCGAGTCCGTGGATGCAGTGAAAGCAAAAGCGACGCAACTCTTGAAGAGCATAACACAAGATGACCTGCAGCACTGCTTCCAACAGTTGAAAATTCGCATGGAGCGGTGTAGGGATCGGGGAGGGGACTACATTGAAGGGGATAACATTTCGATTGTCTGATTTTTTTTCAATAAAGAGTTAGAGCATGAATCCGGGTTCTTTATTGCCGCACCTTGTAATGCAGTAGTGGTAGGACATTTGATGAGGAAAAGAATGTACTCTACCGACAGCAATTACTTGCCATGCCATCAATGATTATGTGTAACACTCATAATTCCTTGTTCCATTTACAAACATCAGAGCACACTAATTTTACACAATCAAAAGACATCCTTGTATGGCCTCAAAAAGGACTGTAGAAATGTCACTGTTTTAAGAACATCTTGTCTTTCTGAAAATGTAACGCACACTAACCGAAACCTTGTCATAAAGACATGTAAAGACCATCTTCAGGTTGAAGAAAGCTCAAACAGAATTGGATTCAAGATGTAGTGGATAAAATATTTATTCTTCTAAAGTGTGGTTGTTTCATATGTTTATTTTTAGCCTTCATTCCATACTGAATTTGGAAAATAATGCAATACTGTCATGTATGCATGCATCTGTTCCTCACCAACAACTTCTTAATCACACTTTGTACTTTTTAATTAATTTAATCAGTTACATATTATATAACCTCTGCAACTGGGATAGCACTGTCAAGAAGCCATCAAGTGCCACCATTGGCAGCCATGTAAATATTTCAGGCAATAACAGCACAAGTGATCTCCAATTTTGGTATTAAGGTAAAGTTGTCCATGTGCTTAATTAAGCATTACACCATGAAGACATGTAACTCCACACATAACTAATTTCCACATTACATCGTGGTATCAGCTCCACACCCTGGTTATTTTACTCTTGTGCAAAGAGCCCCTGGTATTCACTGGATAGAAGACTGGATGGTCGCGAGAGCAAGCATGGATACTGCAGAGAAGAGAAAAAAAATCTCTTACCCCTGCTGGGAATCGAACCCAAAATCTACCAACCATCCTGTAGCCTTACAGCTATAGTGACTGAGCTATGGTCCAGTGATTGTTTTTGTAATACATAAGTGAAAGAAAGAAAGAAAGGTGGGGGAACAACTTGCAAGATGATGATGATCATTGTTATCATCCACTTACATTTTCACTGAGGTGGATTGCCTTTTCCTACTGAAGAATTTAAATTCTTTCGAACCTAGCCTACAAAAAGCAAGAGCAAATTACATGCATAATTAATCTGATTTCATACCCTATTCCAACAAATAAGTATGGTTTACATATTTGGGCATTTGCATATTGCACAGCCTTCTCTTGATTTAATTAAAATATTAACATGAAAAGTATAAGTCGGTGTGACATGAGTTAGCTGTGTCAGTTATATGTGAGAGCTTTATGAGTAATTTGTGTGTTTTACATGGACGTTTGTGTCTGAATATTGAAATCTGTAAAACTCACCTGTTCCAAATTCTGGCTACTAAGAACGGACAGTGAACTTGCGCGCTTCATGCTGAAATGATAAGAAAGAAAAATAGAAAAAAAAAACAATAATAGCAAGTTCCAACCAATTAATTACCCATTTTATTACTTATTAATGAAGGAATGAAGATGGTGATCATGCTGTCTGCACTGCTGCTAGAACTCGTCTCATGAAAAAAAAATAAAGTTGCAAGAAACCTAAAATGTAAGTTATTGTTAGAAGAGTATACACATATTAGTTCCCATGTCCCAACATGAGATGTCTTTCTTTTTCTATGTTCTGATCTTGCAATTTTCTTACCTTCTGGTTGAAGGCAATGATGTATACTGCGTACTTTCTAGACATAAATATAATACACACACACACACACACATACAAAAAAACCTGCACACATTTTATTTTCCTAATTTTTGCATATGAGTGAATTACTTCATATCATCATTATCACCTATCAATAAAGTACTGTGGAATTTCTATAAAAAAAATATATATATATAATTGAAACAAAATGAATAATTACAAGATATTTTTAAGGGTGCAGGCGAAATTCGGTATGCAAAAGTGTTTAGTGTAGCTGAAAGAGAAATGAAGTGTACTACTGTCAATTTTTCAATACTGGAAATAACAATTCTTACTGTATCATTCCCTTCTTGTCCATAACTACTGTAGAGGGAAGTGATCTGTGATGCTGAAATACAATCATCTCTGCAAACCAACCAACTGTAAGGCTGCTTGTCAAGTTTAGTTGCTGAGTTACATTCAGATAATATTCAAGTACACTGAATACAAAGTGATCTGGAGCTCTGAGGGCTTCATGCTGTTATTTTTACCAGATTATATGATGTGTTTTGTAACTGAAAGTTCATACCATCATTTTTAACAAAAGTAAAGAGTTCAGAATCCCCTTCATCAGATAAACATTAGAGAGCGGAAAATTGCATTCAGGCTTGTGGCTCATAAGTATGTTGGAAAGTAGGTAGAAGCAGATATGATAGATCTAAAACACTGTTGTGTATTTTAATGTGACCATTTTGTCATTTATTGTATGATGTCAGTAGCCAGGTTATACAGCACTGAAAGATATGATGACAGATGAACTGGAAAGGATTTGTATGGAAAGGGTCATGGCCTAATCAAGGCACCACCTCAGGAGTGAGCAAAACCATGTCAAATATCAGTAAGGTTACTTCGTGTTCAAGATGAGATTTAAACTGAGCAATTCCAAAAAATGTATGGCATGTAAACCTGCTTGGTTTAATGAGTGTCAAAACCTGGTTTTCAGTGCTAGTAAGTGACAGATCAAATGCAGCAAAATGACCTACATGCAGTATTCAAATGCCAATGTGAATTAGTCATGTAAAGAAATGAGAAATATGGAATTACAATAGTAAATAACAAATTTAAACTACAGTACATCACTGATTTGGGCTAATGGTGTGTGAGGGAGGAGTCTGAATTAGTGAAAAATGCAAATTACAGACTACATTTACATGTAAATATTTTCAAGTAACAGTTCATAAAAACAAGGAAATCTATTCACAGTCCAGCATAGAACACAAATACATGTGTTGTTTGGTGAAAAGAGGGGGCAAATATGAAAATGTTTATACTCGTATTAAAATCTAAACTGAATTTAGGACCAGAAGACTGTGTTCCTTTCAGTGCAAATAAGATAGTATATGTACATTTTAAGACTTATCGCACAGTGGGAATACCATTCAATTCTCATTTAGGAAAAGTCATGGTTCTGCACAAATTAAACATATGTACAAAGAAAGAAGGCAGTCAAAATTATACATGGATCGAATTTCGTGAGATTTTATTGTACTTTACTGTATCATGTTCCATTATACCATTGGAGATCAATACTGAGCCTCGCTCAAGAATACAATGAATGCCCAAACACATCTCTGGCAAGATGGCCTTATTCAGGTATCTTTAACCCCATGGTCATTTAAACATGGCTATTATGCTCTGTGGTGAGTCCACAAATGAAGAAGAAATGGGTTAAAGTTACTCACTTCCCATCCCTTTGCATTCCTGACTTATACTGAATGGCTTTTCAATAATTCATATTTGAATGAATATGTTGCCAGAATTGGCTGTTGTACATTTCCTGTACTTGAAATGGCAGCCTTGGAGTAATCTGTGCATATTTCCAAATGCATGATGTCTTTCAATATGAAGCAACCATTAAACATAGAGCAGAAGAGTGGTATCCTTCTTCCAAATATAAGATACCAGTTTCTGAATCATGGATAGGAAATGTGTGCTCTTCTTGAAGTCATGATTAAGGTTTGTTTGATTTCTGAAATACAATAATAAAATAATGTAATTCATATGGAATATGAAACAGAAAACATCTGGTATTTTGGTGCAAAGCAAATGAGCAATAAGTCACAGAATGCCTCTATTACAAGGTCAGGTTCGAACTACAGGGTATATGAGGAATTTGCAAAAATGCAAGAAACATTCTTTCTGCATGTCTATTGATCATTCTGCCCTGTCAATTAACATGCAATGTGATGAATCACTAAAATATAAAATACATTCCGCATTATGGCACACTTCTAACAGTCTATCTGAATTGTGTTTTAGAGCTCAAAGCTATCTTTCAGGAGGAGACTAGTGACAACTATCAAAGCAGAAGTATAAAACTTAGGATATATATATATACATGTAACCATCAATAATATCTGGCTTGTAATGCACTCAGTTAAACTGTATCAAATCTTCATTTTGTGCATTGTCAAATAACAAACATTACCAGGACTATGAGTACTGAGAGATGGGGAAGAGTAGTGGTAGTGGTTGCAGCTTACTTTAAGGGATCTATTCAGATGGACAGATCCGAGGAAATTCCTGAAAACATCAAAGGTATAACAAAGGATCACTTAGGGCCATCAACACAACAATCGTATAAACAGATATTACAATATTTAATAAGAGTTATTTTATTTTCAGGGGGCACAAGGTAGCGTAGTTGGTTGAGGCACTATGCTACAAGCTTGAAGGTCATGGGTTCAAGTCCTGATGAGGTCACTGCAATTTACCTAATTCTTCCAGCCGCACTATTGCCCTGGGTTCGACTCAGCCTCTAACAAAAATGAGTACCAGGATTCTTCCTGGGGGTAAAGCGCAACCGGCGCGTAGGGCTGACAACCTTACTTCCATCTTTGACCTGACTGTCTAGATAATGTGGGATCCTCAACAACTCACAACCCTATGGGCCTCCGAGGCCTGTTACAGGGATAGCTTTACCTTTTTTTATTTCTTTTCATCCCACTACATATTTCAATCTATCAAGACCACCATCAGGTGGTTTTTACGAATTACATATGCTATTACTCAATTATTCAAATGGATCCATTTTTTAAATTTATCAGTAATGTCACGTGTTGGGTATGTCACGCGACAAATAACTTCACGTGGGTCTTGGATTTAGCGAATCTTTATTGTGCTTCACTTATACACTCACACGCTTTACAATTATTATCACTTGCAGTATCACAATTACTGCTTCCACTGTATCTCGGCCAATACTAGACTGCTTTCTGCAGCGGCCTTCTGAAGAGTGACTCGTTACCGCGGAAGTGCATTATTCTGGTTCAACAATCCGTTGCTTAGGAAGTGCAGTATTTCCAATTGTTATTCAACGACAATTCATTACTATAATTTGTTGCTGTGGAAGTGTCTGTTCCGATTGTAGTGGTTGTCGCGGTGATGGACGTAAAGTAACGAATCACAGTAATATTATGATCTAAATTTTAATTTTAAGTTTAAGTTTTGCATGGGATATATCTTGAATAATGTATGCTAAAGCTTAAATCTGTTAAAAGTTAAAATATGATGGTTAAATACAGAAATGGAATTATAATTTGTAACATTTCAAGTGGGGAGGGGGTGCTTTGGACGTTGGTTATTAGGTAGTGTATATGGGCTTTGTGGTTTCTGATATTTACAAGGCACGCAAAAACCTGGGAAATAAATATGATAAATTTAATATATGTGTTTTGAATATTATAAATGATGTGGTTGTGTTTTGTGGTTTCTTACATTCTTTTTGGTGTAAGGAGGCAACTGGTCGGCAGTCAACATGCCAAACCAAAATTGAGATATGGAAATAAAGTACCTTCTCAAAGATAAAGCATGAGTTGAAACTATTCCACTATAATGTCCAATAAGGGACGAGAGAAAAACCACGCAAAATATCAGTGACATTTAACCTGATATATCTGCTAAATTAAATACAAATAATGTAATAATTCTCTACAATGTTGTTACATTATAATGATTATATATGAGTGTAATTAAATTTAAAATTTACCAGACTCTGGGTCATTATCCCATACTACAAATTTATTTAATAATACAGCCTCCAGAATTTGGGAAACTCTGGCCACACGAGACCAAATTTTAGGTCAACATTTTAGGAATCTGAATCTTACTGGCACCATGTTAAGTATAAATCATCTCAAAGAAGATAAGGTAGCAAAATGTACAGCAAATCTTAAGTACCTAAATTACTGGAGCATTCAGTTCTGTGAATATGATGTTAATGGGAATACTGAGTACTAATGATCTGTTCACCTGCATCACTTTAATCTGGATGATCCCCATAGAATTTTTGTTCAATCACGTTGCTTCCTCTGAAAGCAACTTGGTTATGTGATTAAGAGATCTTGGAAGTTAGAAGATACTGTTCAAAACTGTTACAACACACACATTTTGTAACATCTGTGACAATTTTAAAAGATACTATGTTAAAATTGAGACATTCTCCATAAAAGAACAGTAGAATGGTCTTAAGAGATATACGATACAACCTGAACTACGAAAATGATTAATAAATAATCATAAATACCTGAAATTAAAACATGCATCAGCCACCTAAAAATGAATGAAACCTGATTTTGGCTACCACGCGCAGCATGAACAAAGAAACGTGCAGAGACCATCCTACATAAAAGCAGTATAACAAAAATGGAAACAATAATGTTCTTACCTATTGCTGTTGAATAAGAACCCTT